TAAGAGTGGAATTATTGCCATCTGGGATAAGTGTCTATTCAAATTGCTTTTAGCCTTGTGGGAAGATCCAGGAGAACTGTTTAGCTGAAAATTGTTTCCTTTTTTTTTGTTTACTTTACTCTTGACATTAAACAGTTATCAACACCACAGTATTGAAGCCGCCTAAAATGTGCAGGCAACCTCACTATTGTAAATTTGCTCATCAGGTAGCTATCTGAATCAAAGAGATCCACTACTAACCCAGCCAGGAAATGGACTTCCAGTTGGCAGATAATTATAGAAACTCTGAGGATCCCACAGAACCATCAGACAATAGAAATTTACAACACAGAAGAAGGCTGATCGTGTCTGTGCTGGTTCTTTGAAAGACTAATCCATTCAATCCTGTTTATCTGTTGGTGTTGTTGTAGTACCTGTCTTTCCCAATGCCCCTCCAAATTAGTTCCTTTTTGAAAGCTAATTTGGATTCTGCCTCGACCACTGCTCCCAGGTGGGTATTCCACATCCTCTCAACTCTCTGTGCAAAACAAGCCTCGTCGTTTCCCGCTTCAAATCTCTGTTAATTATCTTAAATTGATGCCCTCTAGTCACTGACTCACTGATCAGTGGAAATAATTTCTCCCCATTGATTCTATTAAAACCCTTCATAATTATAAAGGTCTCTCTTCAACCTTCTCTGTTTCAATGAGAATAAGTTCTTGCAGTCCTGCTCACGAGTCAAACCACTCGTCCTTGCTATCATTGGAGTCCTGTAGCTCAGTGGTTAGAGCACTCGCTTTGCAAGCGAGAGACCTGAGTTCAATTCCAGGCAGGGCGAAACCTTGGGCAAGTTTCCTTACTCCACACGCCTAATAATAATCCCTCCAAAACCAAAAGCAATAATAAATTGGTCATTTTCAATCTATGACTGTATGTGGGACACTGCTATGCGCAATTGGCTGCCGAGTTCGCCCACAAATATACAGTCAACTCACTTTACAGTGTGTTCTGTGAAGCGCTTTGGGAAGTCCTCCCGACGTGAAAAGCGCTATATCAAATGCAAGGATTATTATTATTATTATTATTATTATTATTATTATTATTATTATTATTATTATCCTAGTAATCTTATTTGCACCTCCTTTGTGGGTGCACAACTGGGTAAAAAACATTCTGACAATTTAAACACGATAAGCATTACGACTTTGCTTTACATTTTATGCCCCAACTTATAAAACCCAGGATCCCATTAGCTTTTTTCACAGCTTTGCCCATCTGCCTTTCCATCTTTAATAATTTATGCATGTTGATTCCTGGGCCTCTCTGTTCTTCTACTCCTTTCTGAAGGAGCACTGACAAAGAAGACTTTGATTTTACTGTAAAGTGTAGTGACTGTTTATTTATAGGCAAATGCACAACAATGTAAATCAACATCTTCCTATATTCTTCCTGGTTCAACATTGTCAGAGATTAAAATATGTCCACTAAATTTGAAGCAGATTTAACATACAGTGGCAATTTTGGGGAAAGCGATTAAGCTCCTGTTATTTTCTGTAACTTAAGTTCAAGGGAAAAATATTGTGAAATGGAAGGTTTTCCATTTTGGACAATCTTTGGTGCTATGCTCTCTTCCTAGATGAGGCACAGCATGACAAGCTAAAGAGGAGAAAATTCAACAACAATAAATTACATTTGTAAAGTGCCAATTATGTCAGGAGGACATCCAAAGGGCAGGACAGTCAGGGATTTGGACCTGAGCAGGGGGTTCACTGTGAGAAAGACACATCCAACAACAAAAACAACTTGGATTTATATAGCGTCCTCCATGCAGGACGGTGTCTCAGAGCGCTTCACAGTAACGGATCCCGGGGCCGAGCCAGGGGGAGGGGGAGGAAGGTGACCAAAGGCGCGGTCGAAAAGAAACGTCTTCAGCTGAGACCTGAAAATAGGAAGAGAGGGGGTGAGGCGAAGGGAGTGAGGAAGAGAGTTCCAGAGCCTCGGGGCGCAGTGGCTGAAGGCACTGCCGCTGATGGTGGAGCGGAGGATTCAGGGGACAAGGAGGAGGCCAAACCCGGTGGAGGGAAGGCAACGGGCACTGTTGTGAGGAGAGAGAGGAGAGAAGAGGTCAGAGAGGTAGGGGGGTGCAGAGGAGTGGAGGGATTTAAAGACAAGAGTAAGGATCTTGAAGTAGATCCTCTCTGGGACAGGCAGCCAGTGCAGTCTGACAAGGACTAGGGTTATCAGGGAACAGAGTTTGGTGTGGGTAAGAATGCAAGCGGCAGAGTTCTGGATGACCTGGATTTTATGAATGGTAGTGGAGGGGAGACCGGCGAGGAGGGCATTGGAATAGTCCAGCCGAGAGGTGACAAAGGCATGGACCAGGGTTTCGACGGCTTTTGCGGTGAGGTATTGGTGGAGATGGGCGATGCGAAAGAGGTGGAAGAAAGCAGTGCTGGTGCGGGACCAGATGTGGGGGTGGAAGGATAATTGGGGGTCGAACCTGATGCCTAGGTTGCGTACAGGTTCGGAGAGTTTTAGGGGGAGGTCGGGCAGGTGGAGGAGGTGAGAACCCTGCGATTCTAAGACGTTGACGAGAGCCAAAGAGTATGGCTTCCATCTTGTCAACATTTAGCTGAAGGAAATTCACGCTCATCCAGCTCCTGATGTCTGACAGGCAGGCTCACAGAACGTTAGGGGGTCGCAAAGTGAGGTGGAAAAATAGAGTTGGGTGTTCATCCGCATACATGTGGACATGTGTAAGAAACATATAAGATTGTTAAAGGGCTAGATAAAGTAAACACTGAGGGACTGTTTCCCCTGGTAGGAGAATCTATAACCAGGGGTCACAGTCTTAAAATTAAGGGTCAGCCTTTTAGAACAGAGTTGATGAAATATTTCTTCACTCAGAGGGGCTGTAGAAGGCTGTAGATGCTCAGTCCTTGAAAATTTTCAAGGCTAAGACTGATAAATTTTTAAAAAATAGAGGGATTAGGCGATATGGGGATAGGGCAGGTAATTAGAGTTGGGTCAGAAGATCAGCCATGATCTTATCGAATGGCCGTGCAGGCTCGAGGGGCTGAATGGCCTACTCCTGCTCCTAATTCTTATGTTCTTTTGTTCTTATGTGGAAATCTGTGAATGACATCCCCAGGGGGAGCATATAGATTAGGAAGAGGAGGGGGCCAAGGATGGATCCTTGGGGTACCCCGCAGGTAACCGGGTGAGAGTGGGAGGAAAAGCTGTTTCTGCAGATGTACTGCTGGTGGTTCGTGAGGTAGGACTCAAACCAGCGAGTAGGGTCTCACTGAGGTGGATGATGGAGGAAAGGCGGTGGAGGAGGATGGCATGATCGACTGTGTCGAAAAAGGCAGAGAGGTCCAGGAGGACAAGGAGGCAGAGGAAGCCTTGGTCACAGATAGAGAGGAAATTAGGACTGAATTTAAAAACATATAAACATAGAAAAATAGGATCTGAAGGAAGCCATTCAGCTCCATTCCACCAGTTTAAGATCTTGGCAAATCCTTTAATCCCATTGTTCCTCACTTTTGTCATACCCCCTAATACCTCCAATTTAGGACCATGTGCTATCATCCCAGTAATCGTTTTTGTACCTTCTCGGAGCAAACCTTTCAATTGTCCAGGGCCTTGGGACATTCTCCCGACATGAAAGGCGCTATATAAATTTAATTTGTTGTTGTTGTTTGCCAAAATTACCTATAATCTTAAAATGGTATTAAGGCTAAGACCATGTTTTTTTCTGATGAGCAAGTCTCAGTGCCCACTTGTTAGTATACCAGTATACAGATTGAATTAGGCCAGTGTTCTGTGAAGTGACACCGTAAAGTTGATCACTGAGATGAGGAACAAAGATGGGGTTCGCCAGGAGCTTTGGGCCCAGCCAGTAGCCTGATGTCGAGGTGTGGGGGGAGGGTTGTACACACCGAAAACCAGTTGATAGTCAACGATTGAAATAGTGACATTTCTTAACATATTGTATATGATAATAATCAAGTTGAATCTGTTCAGAAACTGCATTATTCACTTCCACAGAATGGTAGCACCACCATTGGCCTTTCAGTCCATCATGTCTGCTCTGATGCTGTTCTCCACATGATGTTGTTCTCCTTGTCTAATTCCATGCTCCTGCTTGTACCAGATATCCTTTTACGCCTCTTCTGGGTCCAATATCTCAGGTCCTGCATTACAAGCCAATGCGAAAAAATTGCCAGCTTTCAGGTAATAAGACTCATTCAATATATTCTATTCTGTGACACTTAACCCCTCACAAATACACACATGCACGCACACTTCGCTCCAGTGAGCACGAGGACACAGTTGCTTCTAAAGTTCCATTTGATTGTTATTGCTATTCTTTTGCCAAGCAACTAATGAGGATGAGGCGATGATACCCCACACACTCCCTACAGTGTTGCAGTTGTTGTTTTCGACTATCAAATAATAACTGAACATTCTGAGTAATGAAGCATATTATTAAGATGGGATTTTTCACAGTTATGAAACTGAGGTGATGCGAAACTGCAGATAATGGAGCATCTTTAATTAAATGCGACTCTGAAAGCTGTCTCGGAGATGTGTTTGTGAATAGAAAAAATGACAGGCTAATAAGCTGCACGTTAGTCAGACTGAATATTTGATGGCATTGCTGAACTCTGCAGCCCAATGTAATAGTAAAGACCTGCTCATATGCACTTATGCTGATCTACAGTTCTCACAGGAACAATCAGGAGGTTCTGCTAAATGAATGAATCATTGAAGATACATTAGTGAGAGGATACATATATCATTTGAGTCAACCTGATGACAATTTGGGAATTTTCCACTAATGAAGTTCTTGTTTTCCTTCTCCTGCCAGCTTGTTATTGTTGTGCTCGGGTTATCCCCTGGGGCATGAGAGGAGCCCCTGAAGAAGACTGAGGAGCAGGTTCTTTCTTCAGTGAGAACACAGCATTGCAATGCAGTGCTCAAGAAAGCTAGTGCTGCTTTCATTTGCATCTGCCTGTTAGAGAGCGTGGCGATGAAACCATTTACTGGCACATCCCCATTTGCACAGTGATTTTATTTCATAATGAATTCTATGCAGTGACTTACCAGCCTGTCACTGTGGGCTGAAGAGGGGAAGAGAGACTGATGCAATACAGGCGAGAGGAGGAAAGAACATCACCTGGGCTTTAGGGAGTCCCAGACTATCAACTGCCAGGTACTTATCTTCATTTCACAAATTACTCTTGGTGCACATAATGGACAAAGCAGATGAACTGACTAAGCAGATTTTATCCAGCTGCTGGATGTGAAGCACTGCTCCACTGCAGGATTCAGAAGATGAAAAACAAGACGATAGCTGGCTTTTCTGTCACCAAATGCTCTGCATTTCAGTTTTTCAAAAAACGGGTAAGGAAATCTCATTTGTTTTTCAATTCATATTTATTAAACTGCGGATTTGTTCAAGGGGCCGATTAATTCAGTGTCATTGCTTTAATTTGAGATTTACAATATTGGATCATCCTGGCTGGGTAAATGTCAGGAGATAGAGTTACAGAAGGCTTAGTATTAAGTGTCACTTAGAATGTAGGAACTCATTTCTTTTCTTTGAGATTTTCAGACATCCAATAGGACAGAATATTATTATTTTGAAAAATCTATTGCTACCTAATTTAATTTCCGTGCGCAAATTTTCCTTGGAAAAATCTATTTTACAGCTTTGGTATCCTCTTGATTTGCAATATCTTGTTTTACAAAACAGCAAAACATAGGTGATTATGTTTGTAAGATCATTTATTGTTCTACACATGCTTGCAATACCAAAACCTTGCAGGAGCAGGAGCTCAATGGAAATTAAAATGTACAATTTACTGCAGTTTATTACTCCTAAACAGTCTGTTTCATTGATGTATTTCAAAACATACTTAAAACGAAACCACCTTCACAAAACAGAGCATTACATTTGTTTGAAAGATCATTTATAGTTCTACAGATGCTTGCAATACCAAGACATTGTAGGAGCAGGTTTATGTGAATGTCCAACTGTATTGCATTGTGAGTTACGTCATATACTTACTCTCCCTCTTCAATCCAATGTCATTGTGTTTCACGCTGCAGTATTTATACTGCTCGAAGAATTTCATTGGCAATCGTTTACGCCAAATACAGACATTTAAAGGGGTGATTAATTCACTATCGAAACTGAATTTTTGCAAACTATTATTACTCCTAAACAATCTGTTTCATTGACGTGTTAAAGAAACATGTTAAAAAAAACTATTCATACAGCTTGTTTGTATGGCACAACTTTTTGTGTCATTCACAGAATCAATTAGCTTCTGTTTTGGATTAAAACAGGCAGGTATCGTCAGGTGAATTTGTAGGAATGTGTGTTATTTAGATTGATTAGTACAACGCTCAATCTGTCCTTTTCACGGCTGGCCATTAAGGTTGCATCTTTGATATGAAACATCAAGTAGCACAGATTGCTTATGGGCTGGATATCATTCCAGTACACATGATTCATGGTGCTGTGGTGGAATAGTAATGGAAAGGATTACACCTTTAAAAATGACAATTGTAAAAATTTCTATGTAGACAATGGCATTTATAGCCACAGAGAAGATGATAGTTCCCTTCTCTGGAAAAGGAGTTTCATGACTGAAATGTATTGTACTTTTGGATGCATTCATGTTAATTTACAAAATTGCTCATTTTTTATTAGTATTACCTAGAAAATACGCAGTATTTCCTGTGAAGCGCTATGAGATGTCCTCCTGATACGAAAGACCTATATCAAATGTAAAGGATTATTCTTATTCTATTTTTTGTATTTGTAAATTAAGTTAACATATTAATATATAGTGTGGCCGTACATCACAAACCATGTTTTATAATACAATAGTGACATACGGCTATTAATCATTACCAAAACAATGTCTAGATCCCTGGCTTCCAAGAACATAAAGTCAAGCTGTCTCTGTTGTGAACACATTTTGTGTAAAGCCCATGATAGCAATCATCAGCTACAAGGCACAGCTGAAGACCAATTTATTTTTAAATCCCCCTGATGCTCCTGACTGAAAACAATCACAGGGTTGAACCTCAGAGTTTAATTTGGAGATGCTGCAGTTTTTAAAGCTCTGATTTATTGATCAGAAACAATCACCAAGTGAGCAGTTTGAAAAATATCTTAATCACTCCTGCTGCCTGCCAACATGAGTCACGTTAGCAAGACTCACTATTTGGATATTTAAGGCTCAAGAGAATGGATTTTTAAAATTATTGATAGCCCACCCACACATCCAACAATCAGAAAAAAATGGTAGTCAACCATGTGACCCAATTACATCAGTTTGTAAAGGAGACTCTTGCGTGGTACAGCATATGCCTTTTTAATGGCTCCTGCATCTTTGAAGCCTGTAACATCTCGACAGCTCGGGAGAAAAGAACATTAAACATCTCAGAGAAATTTTACTGGAGCAGAGTGCAACAGATACTAGCAGTCACAGTGAAGATCTAGCAGTTGTAGTGAAACAACAGCAATAACTTGCATTTATATAGTGCCCTTCATGCGGAGTAGCATCCAGGAATGGAGTGTCATTCACAGAAACAACCAGCTTCTGTTTTGGATTAAAGTAGGCAGGTATCATCAGGTGAATTTGTAGGAATGTGTGTTATTTAAATTGATTAGTACAACACTCCAGTGGCGGAATCTGACAATGAGCCAGGAGGAGAGGGAGGGAGGAGCTGACCTTAAGCACGATCAAAAAGTATAGTCTTTAGGCGGGATATGAAGGTGGGGAGGGAGGGGGCAAGGCAGAGGGATTGAGGGAGAGAGTTCCAGAGTTTCAGGGAATAGCGCGGCTCAAGGCATGGCCACTGATGGTGGAGGAGCGAGGGACAAACAGGAGGCCAGAGCCAGCCGAGCGGAGGCAGCAGGCAGTGGAGTTGGGGATAAGCAGGTCAGATAGGTAGGGAGGTGCGAGGGCATGAAGGGATTTGAAAATGAGTGAGAGGATCTTGAAATCGAATGGAAAGGGACAGGGGCTGTAGAGTCAGTGTTGTAACCTCTGCGGTCAGTGGTCTACCTCTGCAACCTTCTAACCCCCTACTAACCCGCCCATTCCCTCCGCTCAGCTGGCTCTGGCCTGCTCCACGTCCTCCTACCCACCCGACCCACCATTGGTAGGAGAGCCTTCAGCCACTCTGCCCCCAATCGCTGGAATTCCATCCCCCAGTCACTCCGCTTCCTTATCCTCCTTCATGTCCCGCCTCAAGACTCTCCTCTTCAAACATGCCATCGGTCATCCCCCTTCCCCTCCCCTCCCTTCTCCCTCCCTGACCGCACAAATTGCACAAATTGACTACCAAAATTACCTATAAAACATAGAGTCACTACACTTTACACTGTATCCTGAAGCGCTTTTAGATATCCTCCTGATGTAAAAGGAGCTATATCAAATGCAAGGAATATTAATATTACTGTCCACACTCATGTAACTGAGGAATCCACTGTAGCAGGGACAAACTCTACCAATTTTTAGATTTGTTGTATTTCTGAGCATTCACCTATGGGACATTCCACCTGTGTCCAGATTAACTCTGTTTTCTTGACTTTTGCCCACACATGCTGTCTATGATTACATGCCCAGCCCATAGAATTAAACTACTGTAATAATAATAATTCTTGCATTTGATATAGCATTTTTCACATCAGCAGGACATCTCAAACCTCTTCACAAGATTTACTGCAAAGTATAATGTGTTTGTAGGCAAAAGCAACAGCCATTTTGCACAGAGCAATACCCCAACAGACAGCCATGTAGTGAATGATCAATTTTATCTTGAGGATTGTTGTCCAGTACACTGGGAGAAACTCCCTTCTCTTTTCAAATAGAGCCATGGGATCTTTATTGTCCACCTGAACAGGCAGACCCTTCATGTGTCTTGAGTTCAATGAATCGTATGAAGGACGGCACCTCTCACAATCAGGACTCCTCAGCACTGTACTGGAGTGTCTGTCTTGAGTATGTGAGTTCAAATTCCCGAAATGGGGCTTGAACCTACTATCTTCAAACTCAGAGGCGAGAACGCTACCAACTGAGCAGGGCTAACACCTAACAGTCAGTGTGTCCAATAGAGGAGAGGGAAGAAGAGAGGTGAGGATGAAAAAGATGGCATAACAAAAGGTGGAGTTATACTAAATAGCGTAAGTACAGTACTAACCTGTGTTGCATCTTTATAGACCTACACTAGTTCTGAAACTGTGTTTTTATATATTCACAGGTAAGAAGATGGATGAGGAGCCCCAAGGTCAGTGTGGACAAATATCAGCCAGCACATATGAGGAATTCAGATACATTTGTAAGCACCCCAACTCAAAAAGATGCAGAGCCACAGCTGTGGTGCCAGTCTCATTGTCAAGAATGTCACCTATGTCAAGTAATTGCTAATACTCCAGATGTGGAAGAATGTGCCCACACAAAAGCTAGAAGCTGTAAAGTGAACAATTCAACAAAGGTGAGTTAAATGGTATGGATGTACTTTCCAGCAAGTTATTTTGATAATAATCTCTACAACATGTGCCCACAAGTCATGCTAGCTGCTTGCTGTAGATTTGTCAAACCTCCATCCTTCCTTCCAGTGCTCCGAGACACTATCCTGTGTGAAGGGGGTTATGTAAATGCAAGTTGTGGTTGTTGTTTTTTCCCCACTAAGTTACAGCTGTCTGATGACATTCAGGGAGAGACAGGGACTCTACTATCAAGCTCCTCAATACATATCAAAGGCATATTTTTGTTACAGTGGTGAGATTGATTACCCCCTGGTTTCTAAATCAAACCTACAAACAAACAAAACATTTGTTTTTTTTCACAAAACCTTTATTGAAAAATGAAATCAAACAAAATAGATTGTGACAAAAGATTCCTCATGAAATGGTACTCATTTAGACTCATTGTTTGCTGCTTTTATGCAGTGAGCCGTTTCACAGCAGAACTCATTAAACAGCCTTTTGTCAATAACGCTAGCCTTTCATGAACATTGTTTCGCAGCCGAAACAGAAACCCATTACTGTTCTCAAGAGAACCCAAACCAGCCTGCTTAGAGTTTCACATATATGTCTAGCATATCAAGCCCATCTCATTGCAGCAAAACTGGTGAACATTCTTTTGAAATATGATTCTTAAATTTATCGGGAAGAAAAATATTTAAACTCTGAGGTTTTTTTATAGATGTACCTATTGCAATATAAAAAGGGAAAAAAGAGCCAGCTCCATTCTCAGCAACTATCTTTTAAGCAATTCTTTTAAGCAACTATCTGAAAGATTTAACACCCTCTTACTTATTCCTTTCCACATATGCATTGTATGCATGTTTATTTTATGAAGAGCACAGTCAGAGCTCACTGAATCACGGTTGCCTGTGCCGAACAACACATATGGAATGTATTTTGCAGGGTAAGGTTTTCTTGACCTGACTGTTGAGCATTTATTGGAGCTGAGTCGGCAGTCAGCTCTGTTCCAGCTGTGCAGTGGAATGAATCAAAGGGCAGATTTGGAACACCAGTCAAGAAGTCAGGTCTGCTGTGAAAGAATTAAAGAAGGTCTCATGCATTTTCAGTTTCTTGTCGTTATTGGTAATATGGGATGCAACCCTGCATGAGGGGTGCTATAGAAATGCAAGTTGTTGTTATTGTTACTGCTGTCCTGACAGACTGCCTGTCGGACATTAAATCCTGGATGAGGGCAAATTTCCTAAGTTGAATGTGAACAAGACTGAGGCCCTCCTGATTGGCTCACGCCAGCGCCTCAGCACCTCAGGCTCTGACAACATCAACCTCCATGGTTGCACACTTCAACTCACCAAGCCAGTCAGGAACCTTGGTGTCTTGTTCGACCCTCAACTGTCTTCTTTTCTACCCCACATCCAAGCCATAACCCACTCTGCCTTCCCTCACCTCTGTAACATCGCCCGACTCCACCACTACCTCACCCCTCAGGCCGCTGAAACTCTTGTTCATGCCTTCATCACCTCCAGGCTCGACTATGCAAACGCCCTGCTTGTCGGCCTTTCCAACTCCTCTATCCACAGGCGACAGATAATCCAGAACTCTGCATCCCGTGTCCTCTCCCGCACCAAACTCCGTGACCCCATATCCCCATTCTCGCTCGACTCCATTGGCTCCCTATCCTTCAGAGGATCCAGTTCACGATCCTGGCCCTCACCTACAAAGATCTCCATGGCCTCACCCCACCCTACCTCTGCGACCTCCTAACCCCCTACCAATCCGCCCGCTCCCTCTGCTCAGCCGGCTCCGGTCTGCTCCACGCCCCCCGAGCCACCCGCCCCACCATTGGCGGGAGAGCCTTCAGCCACTCTGCCTTCAACCTCTGGAATTCCATCCCCCAATCATTCTGCCTCCCCCCCTCCTTAGCCTCGTTCAAGTCCCGCCTCAAGGCCCTCCTCTTTGACCATACCACCGCCCTTCCCCTCCCTTCTCCCCCCCTGACCGCAGCTCGGGTCTGAAATGCTGTACACTGTCCAGCACCTTGGGATGTCTTCCCGACATGAAAAGCGCTATACAAATGTAATCTTGTTGTTGTTGTTGTTATTGTACTAAAATGGTTTCAACCCAGATCAGTCAGGAATAAAATGCCACTGGTTGTAGCAAATCTTTCTTAAAGGCTGCCTGGAATTCACAATCACTGGTGAGGTATTCTGTTTATTATGAAGTTTCATAATATCTTTCCTGCCATGACCTCGAGATTGAATTCTCAAGCGCTGACACCACTAATAGTCATTAAAACATTACTCCATATATGAGATACCACTGGTGAATTCGGACATGCAAAATACCAATCTTGTAGAGTTCTTAATCACTCCCAATAGGATAAGAAGATATTAGTGGTGGGTTCTCTTCAAACTGACATAGCTGTTACTGTAAAACAATGCTCCAAACATTTAATTTAAGAACATAAGAACATAAGAATTAGGAGCAGGAGTAGGCCATTCGGCCCCTCAAGCCTGCGCCGCCATTTGATAAGACCATGGCTGATCTTCAGACCTAACTCTTAATTACCTGCTCTATCTCCATATCCCTTAAACCCTCTATTTTTTAAACATCTATCAGTCTGAATCTTGAAGATGTTCAAGGACTGAGCATCTACAGCCTTCTGGGGTAGTGAATTCCATGAATTCACTACCCTCTGAGTGGAGAAATGTTTCCTCAACTCTGTTCTAAAAGGCTGACCCTTAATTTTAAGACTGTGACCCCTGGCTATAGATTCTCCTACCAGGGGAAACAGACCCTCAGTGTCTACTATATCCAGCCCTTTAAGAATCTTATATGTTTCAATAAGATTCGCTCCTCAGTTGCTTGCTGCAACTGCAAACTAACTTTTTGAGACTGGTGCACAAGGACATCCAAATCCCTCTGAACACTAACACTATCTAATCTCTCCCCCTCTAGAAAATAATCTGTTTTTCTATTTTTTTTTACCTAGGTGAATAACTTCACACTTCCCCACCTTAAATTCCATCTGCCACCTACTCGCCCACTCCCCTAGCCTATCTATATCCTGTTGCAATCTTTTTGCATCATCCTCAGAGTTTACTCTCCCACCTAGTTTAGTGTCATCCACGAATTTAGATACGTTACATTCAATGTCCTCGTTTAGATCATTGATGTAAATTGTAAATAGCTGAGGCCCAAGCACTGATCCTTGTGGCACTCCACTAGTCACATCCTGCCAATTCGAGAATGACCCGTTTATCCCTACTCTCTGTTTTCTACCCGTTAGCCACTCTTCAATCCATGCTAATATGTTCCCATTAATCCCATGGGCCTTAACCTTGTGCAATAGCCTTTTGTGTGGCACTTTGTCAAATGCCTTTTTAAAATCTAAATATACTACATCTACTGGTTCCCCCCTATCTAACCTGCTAGATACATCTTCAAAAAACTCTAAAAGATTAGTTAAGCATGACTTCCCTTTTGTAAAGCCATGTTGACTCTGCCTAATCTTGTTATGGTCTTCCAGGAATCCCATAACGACATCCTTAATTAAGGACTCAAGAATTTTCCCTACCACTGATGTCAGACTAACTGGTCTATAGTTCCCCATCTTTTCTCTCCCACCCTTCTTAAATAGTGGTGTTACGTTTGCAATCTTCCAATCAATGGGAACCGTTCCAGAATCCAGAGAATTTTGGAAGATCAAAGACAAGCCATCCACTATCTCAGTAGCCACCTCTTTTAAAACCCTAGGATGTAGGCCATCAGGTCCAGGAGATTTATCAGTTTTAAGACCTGATAATTTACCTAAAACCATTTCTTTACTAATATTAATTCCCCAAGTTGCTCGCTAACATTTCTTCTTGGTTCCCCTCTATTCTTGGTAGGTTTTCAGTGTCTTCTAAGGTGAAGACAGTAGCAAAGTACTTGTTTAATGACTCTGCCATGTCTTTGTCCCCTACTATAATTCCCCCCGTCTCTGCCTGTAGGACCCACATTTACCTTTGACAGCCTCTTCCTCTTTATATATTTATAAAAACTCTTGCAGTCTGTCTTTATGTTCTTCGCTAGTTTGCCCTCATATTCCATTTTCTCCCTCTTAATCACTTTTTTGGTTCTCCTTTGTTGATCCCTAAAGTTCTCCCAATCCTCGGGTTTACTACTCATCTTAGCTGTTTTATAGGCTTCTTCCTTTAACTTTATACTTTCCCTAACTGCTCTAGTTAGCCACGGTTGGGCCACCTTTCCCGAGGCATTCTTATTTCTCAAAGGAATAAGTGCTCGCTGGGAATTTTGCACTATCTCCTTAAATGTCTGCCATTGCTAGATACTGTCAAATCCTTAAACCTAATTTCTCAGTTTATTTTGGCTAAATCCTCTCTTATACCAGCAAAATTGGCTCGACTTAAATTTAAAACCTTTGCTTTGGACTTAACTACTTCTCTCTCTAACTTAATGCTAACTTCCATCATATTATGATCACTTTACCCTAGAGGAACCTTAATTTCCAGTTTGCTGATCAGCCCTGCTTCATTGCACAAAACAAGGTCTAATATGGCCTGTTCCCTGGTTGGCTCCTCGGCATACTGAACTAGACAATTATCCCTAATATATTCTATAAACTCTTCCTCTATCATATTTTTCCCAATTTGGTTGTCCCAATCTATGTGCAGATTAAAATCACCCACAATTAATGTTTTTCCCTTACTACATGTTCTGCTAATTTCCTGATTTATACCTTGAGAGATACTGTGACTGATGTTCGGGGGTCTATAAACTACTCCCACTGGAGATTTCTGCCCCTTGTTGTTACGTGACTGTACCCATACTCACTCTACTTCCTGCTTTTCTGATTTAAAATCTTTCCTCTCTACTGTTTTTATCCCATCCTTTACTAGCAGGGCAACCCCCACTCCTCGTTTACCACATTGCCTATCTTTCCTATACACCACATACCCTGGAATATTTAGCTCCCACCCTTGAAATCCCTGTAACCATGTCTCGG